ATAATATTAGCAAAGTAATAGCATTGTAATATCTTTGTAGAAGATAGTCATAATATAATCGTTAGATTCTTTGCTTTAAATACCTTGACTATCTCTATTGATATAAATACATATATAAAATAAGTAATATCTATGTTAATGTGTATAGCATTGAATATCTCTATATATCTTATCTATGGGTGTGACACAATGTTTATAAGAAAATGTTTACCGTCTTTTGTTCAGTAAGATACAGTAGCGTTCACACACGAATGAGTCTCTTTTTAATCCCGTTTGGATTTTTCTTTGGCAAAGGAATACGTTCTGGGTGTTAAGGCGAAGCTACACGCTAAAGTTATGGTTTTATCTTTGAAATATACCTTCATGTTATTCAACTATCTAAAATATTGATTTAGCGATTTATTTTATCAGTAATTCATATATTTAAATACATTTATATTTGTTTCCTGCTAATTAAATATATTCAGAAGTAATCTTCTAAAACAATATCTGATTGTACGTTCATCGATTTCGACGAAAGAATATTAAATTTGTTGTTGAATAAATGTATCAAACTTCCCCTTAACATTTCCCCATACATATAACACGTCTGGGTTCGTCCGTGTTATCTTTGTACAAGTTCACGAAAAACATTATTCAATACTCCGTCTGGCTTTATTGAAACATCCGCATACTAGCTGCGTCCGACGGCTTTGTCTGAAATAACATTAAATAAATCTCGAATCTAATAGGGTTATAAGAAAAATTAATCATTAATAGGTTTATTTTAAACTGTTTTGTAGTTTATCCTTCTACCTCTTGCTACTCAGAAAAAACCTGATAGTAATTGATAAGCGATTTAACATAATACAATTGTTTATGAGTTTCCAACGTAATCATGAACTGTAAATACGAGCAGTTACTATCAAAAATACACCTTTCAATAATATATAGGTACGATACCAAAAACTGTAACTGATATTAATAAATAATATTTTGTATGTATTTATATACGTGGACTTATATTTTTAGAACATTATTGGCTATTTAAATGAAACTATAAAACAATGTATATAAAGTTAAATCTCTTAATAATACTCATATACATAGTAAGGAATTATAGCGAACTTTATTAATGAATGAATTGATATTTCATTCATTTGTTTATATGTAAAACTTATACATATAAAGTATAATGTAAGGTTTTATCACAGTATATATATATTAAAACTTTTTAATATTATATTATATTACTATAAAATAACAAATAAGTGCAAATAAATATTGTAATTTATATTGAATTCGTATTATTATATGTAGAATCAGAACATTCTTTAAATTGTTTGAACATAAAATGATAAGATAAATTATCATTTGATAATGACACTATGGATTCGTTAGTAAAGTTACTGAAAATTAATATTCAGAAGGTATAGGTTCAAATCCTGTTTGTGACTAAATAATTTAATTGAGTTGAACTTCATTTTTAACACGATTTTCTTATATAAGTTATTCTAATTAGAGAATAAAATAGATATTTTTATTTATATAACATCCTATTCTATACAATGAACAAAAATAGAACATTTTTCCTTAACACCTTTAGAAATATGTAGCAAGTTCATAGAAGAATTTTTTTTTAGATCTACGAAGATATTTCTTATTAGAACTAAAAATACCGTCGGCAAGTTCAAAGGGATGCTGCCGTCGGCTGTTTGATGTGACCGCCCGTCGGCACCTTTGATGTGTATCGGGAGCTTTATATAAGGTTCTATGACCTAAATATAGTTTAACAATATATATAAATAAACATATTATGTAACATATAGGAAAAATTATTATGCTGTTGCTAACAAAATACATATAAAATATATATATATGTACGTAAATAATTAAAATAAAGAGCATATTTGGACTTGATTTTATTTGTCTTTAATATTTGGCTTCTTGGAATGTTAATTCATTATATATATTGCGTAAGTATATAATGAGTTTTTATGTAGAGTTTAAAATAAAAATATTTATATACTTATACTAATTAATTAATTAGTATTAAGATATTTTTTTATAGCCTAATTTTTATTTAGTTTGAAGTAAACATGAATCATGAAAAATAAACAAAGTTAAATTAAAACAAAGTAGATAATAATGATTACATAATATTATTTTTTATTTTATTATTTATTTATAAAATAAATTTGGTAATATAATTGTTTGAGTTCAATGAACCCTTTCGACCCAGTTCCAAGTACCAGGACACCAGAACTGGGGTGAAAGTTAACACTGGTCAAGGTGACGGCGGCATTAAAGTCTAGAACAACTCTGACGACTTCTTAAGATTATAACACGACACATTGATCTTGATACTTAATATTGATTTATAAAAAAAATATAATATTACATAAGAATCTTAAATAGTAGGTATTAAAATATACTTATATTGAAAAAAAATTATATATTTTTTTTGATACTTCTATGCTTTGGAAAGATTTGAAGTCAGTGTTGATATATTATAGAAGTTATCTAGTATTATATTGTTGTAATATCTAGAGTAGAGTTTATGTGTAAGTATCAAATAGGTCTGTTCCTTGTTTGCGAAGTTCTCTAAGTAATAAGATAATGAAGAACGCCGAGGTCGGGGTACGAATTAAAACGAGCGCAATGTGCGTTTTACAAGCGAGACCCATACTGTGTCTATTATAGAAAGACATTTAAGATATACGCATCTTTTTATTCTATTTATAATACCTTTAGCTTCTTCTAAATATTTCTTCAATACGTAAGTCGTGTTAATTTTAGGACAATTAATTGTTTGCCTTATTCCTTAATAAACAAAAGCTATATTTGAATGCAGTATAGACCATATCATTCCTTCGGATACGTTAGTGCCGGTGCAACGCACATTTCATTCGTTGTTTATTTAATGAGTGAATCTGAAAGACGACCTCGTTATGACGTCACTATTTCCTTTGTCAGAGCGAGAGGGAAGACCTCAAGTTATGATTCCCCATAGTCAAGAGAGGGATGCACGACCAGCTGATTCTCAATGAATGAACTTTCTTAAGAGACCAGTCTAGAAGACATTAGCTCCTTATGAATACGAGCTATGATAATACTGTGACGTCACTAGGACACCACGCTGCCTTCAATATTATATATATAAAGACGGCGTATTGTCTGTTTGTTTTAAGTAATCATGTTTTACTTTTCTAAGCTAAATCAGTATTAGTTTCATACAGTAAAGTAAGTTGTAATGCTTTTTCCTTTCATATACCTATGTATTATTTGAAAACCTTTACGCATTTTTAAATTTTAAACTAATCTATCCTGATAATAGCATTTTGATTGTTTTATACCGGTTTCAATTGGAATATAAAATTGTGAAAGTAATGAAAAAAAAAGGTTGTTTTTTATTCAAATAACAAATATATATAAATAAATATATAAGTCAAACTAATAACGGCACACGCATTTTCATTTTCTTCTAAATTTATGTTGATCTCGTTACCAAAGTAAACCTATTTCAGGATTTCCTTTTAAACATTCGCGAGGCCGGTGCCGTATTCATAGTCCGAGCCCGGATTTGTTCTGAACTTCAACCATCTACACATAACTAATAAGATTATTATATGAAGTAGACATTCTTATTTATTTATTAATATAATTAATCTTATAAATGAATCGTATTAAATTCTTATATAACTTACATATGCTGAACAAACAGAAAGTACGTATATTTTTTTTTGTATTGTTTTCTATATTAATATTAATAAGATATTCTAGTATCAGTTCTACATTTCCGATACCTACTCATACACATGGAGAGTTTTTCATTAGGCTGCGATCACATTAGGTTGCAGACAGACGGCGGGATTATTGGATCCGACGGGCGAAGACTTCGATCCGATGCCTTTTTTACTTTTTCCTCCTCCCTCCTCCCCGTTCCCTCCCCTTCCCTCGTCTGGAAAGCCTTTTCCTCTTATTTATTGCTTACACGGATCCGGAATTGGATATTTGTGAAAGGTTGAGTTGTTTACCAATTGGAAAAATATTACTTTTTTTTTATATATAACGTCGACTTCTAATTTGAATTGAAATGCAAAAGAATATTTTATGATAAAGACTTAGATTGAGTTGGGTAAATAATTTAGATATAAACATATATATAGTGGATGTCAATTTTATTAAAAACTATATAATTTTATTATCTTTTACTTATTTAGAAATGATTCAATAGTTTTAGTTACTATTTTATAATATAATTAAGTTATAAAGAACATATCCGAATTAATTTTTGAAGATATATCTTATTCAACATTGAATTCGCGACAGACGGAAAGTAAATTAAAATAAATTCATATTCAGAAAGTCGATGAGTTCTTTTTTTTGTTTCTGAATTCTGAAGATTATAAAAAGGGCATGTTAACACTAATTACGTGTGTCGCAGTCTAGACCGAGCTAGACTCGTTTAGACCAGACATTATAAGGGCTTGTCTCATTACTTCTAGTGCTGGAAAAAAAAACATGTCAAAAACCGACAAGTGACGTTTCACTGAGGCAATCCTAATTAAAAGATTTTTGGTCTACACGTACTTCTGACGTCACATACGTCGAGTTATCCGTACCTACTCCATTAGCGTTCGTATGTTTTCACTGCTAATTGGATGTTACATAATTTAACCGCAAATAAATTTCGGTTTTGTTGCGATAGTTTAATCTTATTGGAAATATGAATTATTACATTGTCATTTTAAATGTCAGGAAATGGTTTATTTTGTTATAATAGGATGGTACTTATTAAATATCATAAAATGATTAACGAAATATAACAGCGAGTATAATATTTTATACTAACAAGAACATAATTATCGCTAGTTTATATACAGACAACAATAAAAAAAAGTTTTAATTAATATCTGTAGCAAACAGACTTGCAGCTAATTTACGTCGTGGAACACAACACGCAACGGGAATTTCCCTAAACTTATCTGCGGAAAGCCACCGAACAATCCATCATCATTATGCCGGAGCTGCCGAAATTCAATAAAAAAGAAACTTTCTTGGGGGTGCCATCTAGCGGCGGGCTCGTGAAGCTCTCCCCGGCCGCCGCTCGTGGGGTAGCGCGCCACCCCTGTTGTATCCCTTTTTTCTTCCCTCCACACCCTTATCTATACCTGAGCTTTCTTTATCCGTCTGAACCTTTCTCTTCCATCCATCCCTCTCGCACTCATCCAGCCACTCATTGGATTATGACAGTGTATGCTCCATCTCTGTCTTCGGCAAAGAAAAAATCTGCTTATAAAAATGAGCGTGTTTGGGGTAGGGCTCCATTGGACGTATTGTGGGGTAATGTTTCATATGGAGGGGTGTTTTTTGTACACGCGTACGGGATTGAAAAAAAAAATTGCACCCCAACAGAAGCCGAAGTTTCTTTTAGGTACCTACAGATATATTCGTTTCATTTCCAATTTCGATAACAAAGCTTTAATTTTTTTTTTATTTTGGAGTCCCCGCGTTTTCTTTTGTTCGCTTTTCTAGAAATAATTGTGAAGGCTCCGGGCCTAATTTATTTTGGTTTTCATAATTTTTCAAAGGATCACTCCGTGTCCTCGGATTAATAATTTTCTCGTGTGATCTGAAATGTTCACTTGCTCCGATGACATCAAAGGGAAATGTATTTTTAATAATGGCGGCAAATTAACGAAATTATATCACACAACACTAACTTATTAACAGAAATATGTTTGTGTCAACTTTTATTAAAAAATAAGATAAAGTTTGGATACAAAATATAATATATGAGTAGCTAACATATTGTATCTTTATTTATATGGTTACTGTTTAGCTTTTTCTTACTTTGACTCGATTACTTGTTTATGTATGTATATGGGGCAGCAATTTCATTTTTTCGTTCTTTCTTAATTTTCATTGTAAAGTCGTCAATCATAAACTGCGTGAAAATTTATGTCGATTTTCTATTCAATATTTTTTTTAATAAAAGTTATTAACCTAATATTATTTTATGAAAATCAAAGTCAAATATTCCTTTAATAAATAACTATTTTTTAATAGTTTAACTCTTTGTAAATCGAGTGATAATAATATATGTTGACTATGTAGTGGGTAACAGTAGCTTTATTGAAACAAAATCTTAGCAAGATATATAATACTATTTATGAGGTTTATTGGGATATAATGAATGTTTTTCTTACGATATAAGACGGGAAACGTTTTTTGATAGTGAAAATATACATACTTCTTAATTAATCTTCTACATGGCAATTTCAAAGCTATAGCCAGGGTCTGCCTTACTTAAATGTTGTCAATAGTTTTGATATCAACCCTCTCTGGGAATGCATTAATCAGTGATGTCTAAATACTCTTAGAAAGTACATATGACTCGGAAAAATCACATTGATACTTGCCAGGATCGAATCCGCGCCCTCGTGCATGAGAGGCGGGCCTTTTAACTACTAGGCCACCACTGAATTAATTAATATATAACCATAATATACATATGACATATATAACAATAAAATATGCACACGTTGTTGATAATTTTTGTTTAATTATCTTATAAAAAATATTTTTTAAAGCAATTTCGTGTGTTTGAAATTAGTTTTGTGAATAGACACAATTTTTATTATAAGCTTAGGACACAAACTTATGGATGAGGTATGTAATGAAGAAATTATAAATTATTACACTTTTTAATACATTACAATCATTCATTCCTGACATTTTTTGCATTAATTAGCTCTACATCAACATGAATATCTATCACGTTAATAAATATTTATTTACTAGTTTTTGCCCGCGACTTCGTCCGCGTTAGTTTGGTCAAGAGTAATATATGTAGGTACACCTGATCAGGCGAACTCTATTCCTATTACATTGTATGTTTGTTCTTTATCAATATAGAATAATATTTTTTAGTCACTAGTAACTAAATTTATATTAAGATTTGCTCATTCTAATGAGCTTAATGTAACTCTATCCTAGGTATTCGGTATATACAGGGTGACTGGTGAATTACTATAAATACTTGAGGACGTGATATTTGACGATCATATATGACAAAATAAAAATTAATATAACATAAATATTAATAAACTTCTAAGTAAAGTTAACCAAAAGTTATGTAATTAATTACGCATCGTATGAACACCCTACAGATTAGGTATACACACACACTCACACAGACGCGGCGGCGGCGTAGTGTTGTATCAGCAGGCCGCCGCACGCGTCCACACTTGGAACACTTGGAACGTGTCAACACTTTATTTATTTATACGGAAATTTTGTCAAAAATTAAGTACCTATTTTTTTTACATAATTCGAATGAGAATCATGTACCGAGTATTCTCCTTAAATATTGATAGTAATTCACCAGTCACCCTGTATACAGTTGTGATGAAAATTTGCGAATCAATCTTCAATTATATGTAAGAGATTAAATTTATTTAATAAAAAAGTTAAAATTATTATCATAATACAATAAGTAATTAAGGTTGTTTTACATAAATAAGATATCCAGTATGTTATATCTGTGCCTGAATTGTAAGTTTTGTTCGGAGTAACCAACTAAGTTATTAATATTGTAATACTATGAACTTTAAATAATTGAAGTAAAATTTAAATTTAAATAAAAGTGAACAAAGTGAAAAACTGTTATTAGAGTTTTAGACCAGTAGTTTTTCGACTCGACGTAGAATTTTAGACCTTACTGCAATCGGACAGAGAAGCTAAATTCAGAGACACTCTGTAATGACACCTATGTTATGTAAAATATATACATATAGTTAATTATATGTATTGATCGTAGCTGTTTTAAAATAAGTCCAATAATCAGATAACGAGTACTTACAAGTTTATTATAAATATGAACATTTTCGTACCAGTTTTACTTTAGTATTATTAAAATAGTATATACATATACATATTTATATTATATGTATACAGTCATTATATATAATAAATACAATCTTATAATAGAGAATATCTAGAGAATTATATTGTTTATGTATTAGCGTCACGACTTTTAAAATTAAACCTCTTCTAAGAAAATTAATATTCAAAATTAAAATCTAATTAAGTAATATCATATATAACTCAGAGTACATTTGTGTGTTTAGTTTTATACAAAATAATATGTAGTTCTTGAGTTTATTTAGACTTAGACAAGCAGACATACGGGGATGAGAACGGAATGATGAAGGAATGAATGAACTAGATATCCCTCATAACAATTGCAAATTGAAATAATTATATTTTTGAATATTCTATTTATATAGCTGAAACAGATATTTATCAAATAAATTTGTCTTTTGTATTGGATTTTCTTTTCGTAAAAATTTAAAATATTCTTTTCCAACAGTAATCTTGTAAATCGGTTATGAGAAATGTGGCTTTTGAAAAACTCTATTTTATATGATTTTTTAATAGAAAAATGACAATTTTCGTTTTTCTCTATAACAATGAGTATACCCCACGTATTATTCAGTACATAGAGGCTTAGGTTACTTGTCGAAAAATAAATACTAATAATATTTTTTTGTTCTAGATCCATTTATTTTAATGTTTAATATATTTAAGTGATGCCTATTTATTAAGTTTCTCACAGAAATCAATCAATACTAAGGATTTTCCTTTGTAATAATTTTTTTATATTATTTTGTTTATTTATACTACCTTTAATTAAATTCATTAATTTGTATCAATTATTTAAATTCTACATTATTATTACTCCCTGGTCGAATCTGTATACGCTCAATGGTTTTTGTCTCAATGTACAAATAATATTTAAAATACATATAATGGTTTATTTTATATAAATTTATAATTTGAATATATGTATAATTATGTAATATGTATCATACTTTGATTATTACGATATTAATTAAAGTATACTTTTAATGAAAATAGGTAATTTTTTCAACTCGTTAAATTATAATCTTCTTCTTCTTCTTCTTCTACCTGGCAATTTTCCCAGCTATAGCCAGGGTCTGCCTTACATGTTTGTGAATAGTTTTGGCTATTTGTTTTTACAACCGGCCGCCTGCCTGACATCAACCCTCTTTTGGGAATCAACATTAATCAGTGATGTCTAAATATTCTTAGAAAGTACATGTCGCGCCGGGAGATTCATCATACCAAGAAAATAAGCCTTTCCGCGAATTCGTTTAAGTTTTAATAATTGTTCTAAGAAACCATTGTAAATGTTTTCAAATTACCCACTTCATCAATGTAAATAGTCTTAACAAAATATCAGGTGATTATTTTTGTTCAAGTACCTACAATTGTAAAACAGAATCTACCATATAAAAGGCCGAGCATAATCATACTGAATTAATTCTACATTGGTCGCTCTTAGGGGCCACTCTGGTAGAATCTCTGCTAAACAATTCTTGAGTCATTGTGGGAATTTGTTAAGCAATAAACGAGTAACATTATAAGTAAAGACCCTCTTTTCTTTAAAATGGAAACCCGTGCTACGTCGCCGATATACTAAACGCCCGGACCCGAAAGCCTTTCAAGGTACTAGGCTCTTGGTCTCTTCCACGAGGATCCCCTCGCTCTCACATCAGAAGCGAGGACGTCTCACGCTTCACATTCAACCGCCGGATCGTCTACAGGAAATCGCCTGGTTCGACATACAACTCTGCACGAGTTATTGGAAATGCAAGTGACAAAAGTTAAGTACTCTCACCGTATCTATAATAATTTCTGTGGCTGCTATTACTAGTCCAAAACGGACCTCCCGTTTCAAAACAACCTCCCGTTTCCCTTCAAATAAAGACCTTTCGATTAGGTCTAGCTCATTTTGCAATAGATCCAAAACAATGTCAGTCCTAAGGAGATTGTTATTTCTACAATAATGCCAATTGTAAATATGTACTCGTATCGTACGAGGTGACAAAGAAGCCCATTTGTACATACTGTTCTAAAATTAGAACACGCTTTAGATAAAGATGTCTAAAAACTAAAATTAGTGTTAGTAATAATTATTTATAATGATTTAATTATTTATCTACTCCACAAAGCCTTAAAATTTTATAAAATCACCTATTCCCAGAATCATTAACCAAGAAAAACTATTGAACGGTTTTGCAGGGTGTATTACAAAAATTCATTTCCAATTTTTCTAGTGTTCACGACACCTCTTTAGCTTTAACCAAAGGTGAAAATTGAAACTTAGGTCACAAGATGGCTTGTAAAATCATAATAAACTTCTGAACGGCTGTGCCTGTTCTCTCCATATTTAAATAAAACGATCTTATAGAACTATATACTTAACAGGCAAGAGAGGGGGCGTTCGTCTGGATTCATCTTTAATTAATAAATACGGCTTCTATTCCACACTAATTTATTAGGTCACGGTTATACAATTATCAATCCTAAATAATCAGACACCACGCGGATGCAAATGGATTAATCCTAGGAACGTGGTGAAGTCGGTACCACGTCTTTACGTCGA